AAAAAACCTTTCTGAAACTTATACAAACCCTGAAGGAGTGTATTTGGCACAGAAATACTCCATATGTCCTTGTTTTTTGAAACTTTGGCCATGTTTAGCATGAGAATCCAACTCTTTAACAGTGTAAATAAGTCAGAATGCATGAAATAGCATTAGACCCCCCTTTTAAATTTCAATTGTTGATGAAGACCTATATATATTAAGTATATACATACTACTGTTCAAAATTTTGGGGTTGGATTTTTGTTATGATTTTAAAAGAAGTCTCTTATGCTCACCAAGGCCGCATTTATTTAATAAAAAATACAGTAAAAACAGTAATATTGTGAAATATTATTACAATGTAACATAACTGTTTTTATTTTAATATATTTTAAAATGTAATTTATTCCTGTGATACAATCCTGAATTTTCAGCATCATTACTCCAGTCTTCAGTGTGATATGATCCTTCAGAAATCATATTAATATGCTGATTTCTTATTAATGTCAATGTTAAAAACAGCTGCTGTTTTAATATTTTTTTCAGAAACCTTAATACAATTTTTTTTCCAGGATTCTTTTATGAATAGGAAGTTCAAAAGAACAGCATTTATTTGAATTGTTGCAAAGTGTTATTGTTACAAAGTCATTTAAAAAATGATAAATCAATTGAATGCATTGTTGCTAAAAGTATTAATAAAAAAATAAAAAAATCTTTACAAAAATCTTAATGACCTCAGACTTTTGAACAGTATTATACAGTATTATATGGATATTTTTCCTAAGACCCCAGTAAAATCACTTTTAATATATATAAAAATTTATAATTCTACCTTTGATCTCCATCTAACCTTACTGTCTATGAGAAAAAGCTGAGATATTAAAAAGATTTAATGTAGGAATTTTATTTTCGTGTGTGCTAATATCTCCACAGGACATCATACATCATAACTCATACGGCTGTTTCATTGACATACCAGCTTCTTCTCAGATGTTTTTCCTAAAGAAATAAAAAGAAATAAAATAGACATAAAAACAGACTCACACGTGTTGGCTTACAGTACGAGTAGAGAACTATAAAATGAATTCAGTTTAATCAGTAGCCTAGATTATTTAGTTGAAGAATTTGTTGAGAAATATTTGAGTTCATGCTGAAATCTCACACTTTTGTATCTTAGCAAATCTATCAGTTCAACATCCCCACCCCATGAGATTATTGGAGTCTTTTTCTCAGTGGATAAATCTCATTGCTCTGATTTCATAATAAAATCTCATTTGTGATTTTACTTTCCTACGTATCTACATAGCTCTATCTCCACCTCCTGTTTTGTTCCTATACACAAATACACCAAATGCAATCATGTACTGTATGTGCTACAGTAGTTGTGTTTTACTGCAATAAGGTGTGTTGCTCTATCTTGAATGTAACTCTTACGGTCTCTGTATGCGCACTGGTTGCCCTGGGCTCCATCAGGCTAAGTTTATGTGGCAGTCTTGTTGTGAGGCGCTGTGTAAACACAGTGAAATTGCTCAGGGCCAGATTCCACTCTCCACACTCTCTTTTCGATCCCACCGGACTTATTTTCAATATGCCACTCTCAAAGCAAACCATATTACCATAAGCTCTCTCAATATAGCAGAGCTGTGCTGAAAAATATCATCCCAGGCTGAAATTTTGATGATCAGCTTAGCGTGACTTTTTCAATTTTCCTTCCTACCTGATTTCAGGTTGCACGCTCATTAGTTTACTTTTGCTTACATGTTCGGAAAGCACGGATGGACAAATTGAGATGCGGTTGGCATTTAGGCGGCAATAATGTTTCTGGTACAGGGTCTGTTTCAATCACTGGGTCTAACAGCAGTGTGACTCGGTGGCTTATTATTATTCTCAAAGCCGGGGTGGTGAGAACTGGTTTTGTTAATTAAACTGTGAAGATGCTAGGTTCGGATGCAAGGTCTATTTACATCAAGAGCAAAGCAAAAATGCATTTCGGTCATTACAAATGAACCCATGTCACAAAACAGATTGTCGATTCTGAACACACAGTCTAAAAGCTCATGTATTATTTTTGTGTGTGTGAGTGTGTGTTTTCTGCCAAACAAAGAGAAAAAAAAACAAAAATCCAACCTACTTGCCTAAAAAAAAAAAAATCTTGTTCTGTTGCCAGGCAAATTTCATCACCAGAAATGAACTAGATGAGTGTAAAAAAAGGGATTAAAGCATGATTCTGTAACGTAAGATATAAAACATTTTTGGTTGATTTTCCAGCACACATAAGTATATACACTACTATTCAAAAGTTTGGGGATAAGATTTGTTATGTTTATGAAAAAGTCTTTTATGCTCACCGAGATTGCATTTAGTTGATCAGAAATACAGTAAAAATAGGAATATTGTGAAATATTATTACAATATAAAATAACTTTTTTATAGTTGAATATATTTTAAAATGTAATTTATTCCTGTAATGCAAAGCTGAATTTTCAGCATTATTACTCCAGTCTTCAATGTCATATGATCCTTCAGAAATCATTCTAATATGCTGATTTGCTACTCAAGAAACATTTATTCTTATTATTAATGTTGAAAACAGTTGTGCTGCTTAGTATTTTTGTGGAAACTGTTTTTCTGGATTCTTTGAAGAATAGAAAGTTCAAAAGAACAGCATTTGAAATAAACATCTTTTGTAACACAATAAATGTCTTGACTGTCACTTTTGATCAGCCTTTGCTGAATAAAAATATGAATTGCTTTAAAAAAACTTTAACAGTAGTGTATAGTGCTAGAAATTGTAATATATATGGTTGCCTTGATATAAAATTACTTTAAAAAGACTGGTTTTTGTTATACTCCCCTCAGAGACTCAAAATTATGTTCATAAAAATCAATCTTTTTTGCCTGAGGAGGTAATCATAACAACCATTAGGATTAGTATATGACAAAAAAATTAGGTTTGCATGAGAATGTGTCCTTAAACTACCTGTAGAAATAAATGATTACTTACAGATGTCTCAAACAACTAATTTACTGCCGCTCTCATTTGATGCAATTAACACACAATATATTTATAATGATCATCTCATTTGTTTACAATGAGCACAACATATAATTGAGACATGAGGTGTTTGCAAATGGAGACCATATGCTGGAGAGTTCTGCTCCACCATTACAAGTCACGGATGTACTGCCCACGTTCCTGACAGCATAATCGCGGCAGAGCTGGAACCGGCCTCAGAGGCTACCATCTAAGCTGGAGTCGTCCCTCTTGCCCTCCCCCATCTGTGGGTTCCCGCTCCTGCCACACACCCATGCCACGCTTGTTGTAGCGTGTCGGTGTTTGGCAGCCCTTATTCCTACTCCTTTCTGTTTTTCCAAATCTCCATTATCTCCAATGCCGCAGAACGTTCTGAGGCCTTTACTGTCAGCTCTCGACACAGCTCTGAACGTTCGGTTAGGTTTGCGTTTTCAGATAAAGCGAGTGTTGCTCTTGCGTTCTGTGATGGAACAGAAGTTGTTGTAATTGGGTGTTTCTTCAACTACGGGCACTTTTGCCCTGTGGAAAATTAATTTCCTCAAAACTCTTTTCAAACTCTCTACTAAGTTTGTGTACTAGCAGTGTCCAACAGTGTGCACACATGCATCACTTATGTATCACGTTTCTTATGAATGTCATTTCCACCACATCTCAGATCACCATTATTTCTGGAAATGACAGCAATGGAAAAGACATTTTTGGAATAAAATTGGTCTTGCTATGGCTAATTTAATAACTATCATTTTATGAATCCTAAATACACAGAAAAATGTAATATAATATTTTTCACACTTTTACTTTTATTTTAAAATAATACTATTTATTTATTTTACATCTCAGGGATGCTCTGCACTCATACTGTTAAAGGGTTAGTTCACCCAAAAATGAAAATTAGCCCATAAATTACTCACCCTCAAGTCATCCTAGGTGTATATGACTTTCTTCTTTCAGACGAATTCAGTCGGAGTTATATTAAAAATTGTTTTTGATCTTTCAAGCTGTTTAATGGCACTCAGCGGGTGTTGCAGTGCTTCAGTCCAAAAGAAGTGAAATAAAAAGCACCCATCCTTAATAAAAAGTGTCTCACACAGCTCCGGGGGGTGAACAAAGTCCTCCTGTAGTGAATTGATGCGTTTTTGTAAGAAAAATAGCCATATTTAACGGACGACGTATGAGGTCGGCGTTGCGCATGCGCCGCTCAGAAGTGATGAACGCGCACTTTTTTTTATGGATGGGCGCTTTTTATTTCACTTCTTTTGGACTGATACACTGCAACAATTTTTTAAATAACTACGACTGGATTCGTCTGAAAGAAGAAAGTCATATACATCTAGGATGACTTGAGGGTGAGTAATTTATGGGCTAATTTTCATTTTTGGGTGAACTAACCCTTTAAGTCTCACTGTTGTACATTTCACACATGAAATACTTAAATATTTATGTACCATATTCCGCTCCTTGTTTAGAAGGTCATAGATTTATAAATGTAACAATTCATAGTTTATAATGGATAAATGATTATTATTATTAAAAATAATAATATCAATAATAAATTATTCACATATTATACATTATATATAACAATAAAATATAAAAACAATAAAAACAGTAAAATATATACATAAATGTATAGATAAAAATATACTGTATATATATATAATGGTAACACTTTACAATAAGGTTCCATTAATGTAAGTTAATGTATTAACTAACATGAACAAACAATGAACAATACATTTATTACAGTATTTATTAATCTTTGTAAATGTTAGTTAATGAAAATACAGTTGTTCACTGTTAGTGCATGTTAATTCACAGTGCATTAACTAATGTTAACAAGCACAACTTTTAGTAAATGTTGGAATTAACATTATAACTAAGATGAATAAATGCAGTAGAAGTATTGTATACTTCTACAGCATTTATATAGAAGTATTCATTCTTAGTTCATGTTAACTAAAGTAGTTAACTAATGTTAACTAATGAACCTTGTAAAGTGTTACCAAAAAAATTAAGGATGAAGCCATAAAAAATATTTCCAAGAATTCCCAAGAATTTTCTGCCTTCATATAACAAAAAGAAGTTGAAATCCATACAATGAAATCTGCCTACAGCTGAAGAAACTGTGCTTCTCTGCACTTTCTATCTCATCTCCTCCTCTCTTGTTCTCTCTCTCTCTCAAGCAGCATTCATGCATCCCAGCAACCTCTGCCAGGTCCGCCCCACGCCTGTAATCATTAGGCTGCAATTTGGGGCTGAAAATCGCAATTATAGGCTAGAAAACCTAACAAGCGATCACAAAAAGATTCCATATCACTGGCACGTTTTGCAGGGGAGGAAAGTCAAATCCTTCACGGTCCAATCAAGCCTGTCAGTTTTAGCAGTCAAACACAATATGGGCTTGTTTTCGCCGTTCTTACGCCGTTCTTATCATGGCAGTTTAACACTGTGCTGAGATTTACAGGTCTTTCATTTAGTAGTTTTTTTTTTTGCTTAGGTGCTAAAATGGAACAAATATGCTTTGGAGCAAAATCGTTTCACCATGTCAGGATGTTATTAAAAGCCGTAAGTCATTGGTCTAGGCTGTTGCTATTGTATTTCTCTACAGCTTGATAAACGTCAAGCCCGGAAAGTTCAGTTAAAGTGGGTTTATGTTAACAAAATGGAGGATAAATAATACATCTGCTTTGATGCAGAGATCTGCTTTTTGATGCTTAAACACTATTTCTTATGGAGTCCCTAAAGGGATGTGGTGAATGGGAAGAAAAAAAAATTTGATTAAAGGAAAAATGATATTTAAATGCTTTTGCAATCTCTTGTAAAACATTTGCGTTCCCCTGAGAAACTTTGCGTTCGCTCACAAAACATTTGCATTCTCTCGCACAACTTTTGCTGTCCCTTGAGAAACTTTGCGTTCTCTTTCAAAGCTTTTGTGATGGAATAATATGAGGTGGGAGGAAAAACTATACTATAATGCTTTTTGCAAAAGTTTTGTGAGCGAATGTAAAGACAATAGGACAAAAATGTTTTTAAATGCTCACGGCATTTCCATGCCAAGCCCATAGTTGGCGATATTGCTATGTGATTGCTTATTTTATTTCCCTCCAGTGTTTAAAAAAGGAGAAAGAAATAATAACACTTGCAAAAATGTCTCATAATTGTTAAAAAGACATTTGCTAGTCGCCATCTACTGGTGACATCATGTAACAACACTCGCAACTAGTCACCATCTGCTGGTGCATTGATGTAACCAACTCACTACTCACTCACTGAAATACAGTATTGGCTGAAATATTGGGGTATTACTGTTAGCAACATAAGTCTGGATGTGGTGCATACATAAAATTCATAGTGATTTGAGAATGATTTTAAATGACTTTTAAAACATTCTGACAGTGTCTCCATAATATCTTTTATATCATAGTACAATAATGCAAGGCAATGGAAAGACATTTTGTGCCCTTTGCATTAAATGTCTGAGTTAGACATCTTAAAATGAGGTTTTCTGGAAATAAGCCTGAAGGAATTTTACACATTTTAACCTGGAAGTATTAATTCACACATTCATCTCATTGATTTAGATTTTCTGTGGAACCAAGAAGCTTATAGAACAGCATCAGCCAGTCCAAAAACTCTCAAAACACACACACAGAAAAATGTGTACCTGATCTTTGAACCTTATTTTCACCTAAAAGGTTCATAGCAGTACCTTAAGGGTACATATTACCACTCAAGGTACTGATATGCACATGCACATTGTAGGGGTAAAAAGTGTTCCTGTGGCTCAGTGGTAGAGCATTGCATTAGTAGCACAAAAGGTTGTGGGTTCGATTCCCAGGGAACGCACATACTGGTAAAAAATGTATAGCCTGAATGCACTGTAAGTCGCTTTGGATAAAAGCGTCTGCTAAATGCATAAATTAAAAAAGATACAGAGTTGTCCCTGTTGTATCCCTAAAGGTACAGCTTTTGCCCTTTTTTGCATTTTGGGTTCGATTCCCAGGGAACGCACATACTGGTAAAAAATGTATAGCCTGAATGCACTGTAAGTCGCTTTGGATAAAAGCGTCTGCTAAATGCATAAATTAAAAAAGATACAGAGTTGTACCCCTAAAGGTACAGCTTTTGCCCTTTTTTGCATTTTTTTCTGACAGTGATGAAATATACATATTGCTAATTGAGAAAAGGTATAATAGGCCTATTACTTTTAAAGCAATCAAACTCATATTCATCTAGCGGTGGAAAAAACGCCACCATCCAGACCACCCTAGCAACCATATAGCAATGCACTAAAAACCACTCATAACACCTTAGAATCTTAGACCCTGACAATCTTAAAGTGTATCTTAACATCACGGTGGCGAGTTTTGCAATGGGCATGTCAGGCATTTTCTTCAGAAAAAATCTAGTTCTATCACATGCTATCTAGTCTTTATAACTTACTTTCTTGCTGCATGCACAAAATTATTTGGATTCTTAATTTTTGGACACTCATTGATAGATCACCAGGAAACCAAAAATGCTGCTCTTTACAAATTAGGCCCATTAGGCACATACGGTTGGACATCTTGAATATTTATATCACATTTCACAGATGAAAAAACTTTTCAGCCATTGCATTCTCCGGGTTTTGCTTCAAGAACAATTTTAAGAACAGTCCCACAGGTTTTGCTTTTGATTCAAGGCATTGCGGTGGGTTGGATTTCGAAGCAACATTTTGAGACAGTGTCAAGAATTATTATGTAAGAAGAGAGAAGACAATGGCTTATCTGCAGTGCCTCTGCATCTGTGGAGGTGACTAATTTCTCCGAGCTACGGAACCATCACTTCAACGGGGAAAAAAATGATAATGTGTGAGAGAAAGAGGCACGCCTAGATTGGATGAGCTCTGCTTTACTTTTCCCCGGAAGGAAGAGCTGCCCACATTGCTGGAACCTGACATGCTCTCTTTTCCCACTCTGTGGCCACCTGTCTGTTTGACAGCCTGATCCATGTTTACTTCCTCTACTATTCTACTATAATACGGACAAATCATAGATGGCCATGTACGCCTCCTCTTCCTCTCCCTCAATCTTTTTTCTGTGTGCAAATGTGTGTTCGAGACGCCAACCCTGATGTTCCCTCTCTCCCTGCCGGTATTTCCACTTTCTCAATTCGTGTCAGCCAAGTGGAAAAGACCTGTCAATCAAATAAAGCATGCACACACCAGTGTTTCCTACAGAATTCATTTTAATTTTTTTGCAGAAACCCATGCAACCCTGCCTTAATTGGTCCTAATCACATACTTTATTTTAAAGATTTATTTATAACTACATTTCATTTAACTCATTAATTTGGTTGCATTAAATATATATTAAAAAACAGAAAAAATTGTTATGCACCCTGACCAGGATGTGTAGTATCATAATAATGAATTTTTCTACCATTGATTTGATTCGTTTGATTCATTAAAAGATTCCTCTCATTCTGTGCTGTTTTTTTTTTTTCATGCAGCCAGCGAAGCAAATGCAATAGAAATACGTGTTGTCTACCAAAGGTTATTTTCGTAAACGAAAACTAAAACTAAGACTAAAACGATTGATGAAAAAACTATTTCGTAAACTGAAATAAAATAAAAACGTCAAAATAATTGAAAAACTAAAACGAAACTAAACTAACAAAAGTTATTGAAAAACTAACTGAAATAAAATAATAATTATCAAAAAAAAAATCATTTTCGTAATCATTACTTTCTCACCCCTTGGCGGAAAAATATACAAGCTGTGTGGAGGTTTAGGGAAATAGCCTACCTGTAATGGCGCATCACGCACATGGGGTTATCTGACGGAAAGACGCAAAGCAGTTTAAAGCCTGCACGGGTCCTGTTTGATAAACGTGCACCAGCAGTACTTATCAGAACACCCGACCCATTATCTGACAGCAGCACTAATTTAATTCTGTACCAGACCAGAACCGTTTGACATAAAGATGTAACGCAAGCAATCAAACCAACATTAGGCATTCTAAGTTGTGGTGCTTTGAAGAAAAAGACATGCAGTGCAACATGATAATTAACAGAAAAAAAGATGAGAACGCGCATCCTTTCTGTAAACAACACAAAACTTTTGCCTAGCATCTTGTGATCACTCTGCCAGGCTTTTGAACAAGTGTGCATTGACTAAATCACATCATGCACGCTTATAATTCTTCATAAATGAAAAGAACATTCAAATATAAGCCTTTACTGTTAAATGCGATTGCCGTTATTATTGAATTTCATTAGTCCCAGTTTTGATTGATGCACGGCTGTTCACGGAAAAGTGAGCAAGACACCACAGTTACAATATCATGATTATGGTTAAATAAGAAAAGACATATAACCAAATCAGGCTACATTTATTTTCATACTAAATATCTCAACACACATCATTGAATATGACATTAAGCGCGACTTGTGTAGATTCATTTAGTAAAAAAAGGCTTGCCTGCTTTCTTTGGCGTATATTTGTATACTTTTACTATCTAATCAATCTCAGCATGCGTTAATTTTGTGTCGCTATATGTTTGCCTCACTAAGGTTAAATTATGCCTACGTCTTTCTTTGGCCTGCGCTCTGGAAGTGATCTGTTAATTCTGCTAAACTTTCATTAAAACCGAAACTAAAACTGAAACTAAACTATATAACAACTAAATAAAAATGCGTTCACAAAATAAAAACTAAACTAAAACTAACAAAAATATGAATGAAACTAATAAAAACTAAACTGAATTTTATAGCAAATTTGAAAACGATATTAAAATAAAACGAATTTAAAAATTCAAAACTATATTAACCTTGTTGTCTACAACTTTTTTTTTTCATGCCATCACATTCAATTCAGACTCTAAACTCACAACTTGGATAAAACATAATTTCTTGACGCTGTGCTGGAAAAACTGTCATACGCATAATTAAATGTCAAAGAACACATACGGATCTTGCAGTAAAAGTAATTCTACATTTTCAAAATTACTCTGAATTTTGACAACAGACAGATGTTGCTATTGATTCATGTCCTCTACTGAACGTGTTCTCCGGAACTTACATAAAACTCATTACACAAAACTTTCTAGGTGATGTCTTTCCAAGAGGGCCACAATGAAATGTCAAATAATCATACACTACCATTCAGAAGTTTAGGGTTGGTAAGTTTTTATGTTTTTGAAAGAAGATTTTTATGCTTACTGAGGCTGCATTTATTTAATCAAAAATACAGTAAAACAGCAGTATTGTGAAATATTATTACAATTTAAAATAACCATTTTCTATTTGAATATCTTTTAAAATATAATTTATTCCTGTGATGCAAAGCTGAATTTTCAGCATCATTACTCTAGTCTTCAGTGTCACATGATCCTTCAGAAATCATTCTAATATGCTGATTTGCTGCTCAAGAAACATTTCTTATTATTATCAGTGTAAACAGTTGTGCTGCTTAATATATTTGTGGACATTTTTTTATATATATTTTTTTCAGAATTCATAGATGAATGGAAAGTTCAAAAGAACAGCATTCATTTGATATAGAAATCTTTTGTAACATCATAAATGTCTTTACTGTCACTTTTGATCTTACTGACTCTAAACCTGAACAATAGTAGGCTATAATGATCCATAAATCATAATGAAAAGCTTATGGCTTTTATTATACATAAAACTGTAATCTAATTTTATTGAAAATTAAAAATACACAGAGATAAATCTGAGAATATATCTTGTCTTCACTGACCACAGTGATGAATGTGTCTCACAGAAATCTGGCCACAAAGTTGTACGATCCACATAAATGGGCACTTAGAGGGTTTTTAGTGAGAAAAATCTTTCTAGGGCTAAATTAACTTTTAAACAAGGCTCTGACCTACAATCCAGATCTCCATATCCACTGACATCCCTGAAATCATTTTGAATGGATGCTCGGTTTCTCAGTGGGTCCAAATGGCTTGTGTTAGTGGTGTTTTTTACTTGAACAAACCATTCTCACTCACTTCCATGCACTATATTTAGTTCATTGAACTCTCTTCCTTGCGATGCACATGGCTGCTTTGGCCTTTTCTCACTTCAAAGACTGACTATAGCACATTATGGTACGGGCTGTGAAGGAGCATATAATTGGTTGGACATACTGAGTGAATATGCCCATATACACTGAACGAGTTGGTGTTTTGAGGCTGAATGACTTGAGACAGCACTGAACAAACTAGGACATGATGCTTGTGAGCGAACTAACTAAATGAGGCATGCCGAATGAGAATCTGCTGACAGTGACTGAATAAACTGGATAACTAGGAAAGGAAAGTTGGTCAAGAAAAACTCTGAATGTGACTTGACTGAAATGTAAAACATTTTTTAAAAGCCTTTACATTGGAAGTTTATACAGACATTACAGACTGCTAAACAGATTTGCTGCTTAAAACCTAAGTCGTTTTTAAGTAGATTTGCAACTTAAAAACTACTTTTCTATATAAGCCAGAATTAGTGATGCCGAATCATAAATGGATATATCTATTGAGTCAGTTCACTCACGTGAATTGGCCAAACGGTGTAGTAACATTCGCTGCGTCCGAAATCGCATACTTCCCTACTATATAGAATGCGAAAAACAGTATGTGAGGCGAGTAGTATGTCAGAATTCACAGTATTTGAAAAACAGTAGGTGAAAAGTACCCGGATGACCTACTTCTTCCGCCCGGATTCTGAAGTGCGCATTCGATAAACACTTTACTATCCCATGAGGCCACGGGAGAGGATTTATGAATGGCAGTGAAGCGACGCAACTGACGCTGGTAGGTCATGTGACAGTAACAACATGGCGAAGTATAGAACATACTTTTCTAACAGTCATGAAGTAAATTCAAATTAAAATGTAGTACCTACTAAAGACAGTACGCGATTTCAGACGCACTGATTGTCTGAATCGGTTCTGGATTAAGTTTGAATCTTTCGGATAGTTCACTCACGTACTGAATTGTTTCCGGTTTCTCATTTCATAAAACAACACAATTGATTAAGCATCAGAGATCAAACGAGCGAAGTGAATATTTACTTATATTCTTTATCTAATATAATATAATGACATCTTATATTATAATATATCTTATTATATATTATACCCAATATTTCCAACCAAAAGTGTATCACGAAAAAGTAAAGTAAAAAGTACACAAAATCATTTACCGTGATATTGCATCGTTGTTTGCTGTTTTCCGTCAGCTGTTCAGAATCAGAACGAGAGAATCACGATTCGTAACCGAATCATTCTTTTGTGCGTGTTCTTTTAAATGACTCAACCAAACGCCATAGAACATGGCTGGAATCGGTTCACGATTCAGTTCGAATCATTTGAGTTTTTGGCGCGCCAAAAGTCGGCGATTTCTCATTCCATAAAAAATAAACAAGAAACTTTTTCTACTCATAGAACAAAAATAGCGCTGGATTAAGTGGATATATACCTAGTACAATCCATAGAAAATAAACCTGGAAATACATATTATCGTTTACTAACGATGAAGAAGGTTCAACACCTGCACGCTCCACTCCCGTATGACTCGCCAGGTAAATCAAATTAACCTATTAACAGTTTTTTCCG